CCTCTCAACGCGACGCCTCTCAACGCGTACAGGTTAAATGAACACAGCGGACCAGTCTAGTTTGATGGCAAACCAGCCAGATACAGAGATAAGTCAAATCGCATCTCACCCAGGAAGCTAAAGTGAACTTTGTGTAGACTCTGTGTTAGGTAAACAAATCAGCTGCCGTCTCTCAGTTACAACGCTTGTGAGCTCCCCAGCCTTGATCCAGCGAGGAAATTGACCTCCATCGTAAAATGTCTGATCAACCAAGAAAAGAACTTAGGCTTTGAGGCTCTTGTTTCACGTGCATGGCAGGGTCAACAGTGCTATGTTCAACTGGAAATCGCTTTTTCTCAGCCGCCTTTAGCAAGCACATATAAGTAAGATGCCTGGACTATCAAGGACAAGTATCATATGCATAACATAAAGTTATATCCTATGTCCTCTCGTACTGAACCGTCGTCGTCCTTGTCTGCAAAATCCCATCCTCACTATCCCCATCCCCCGTCGCCCCTGGATTCGTCAAGGACTCATCTGAGCGTCCACTGTAAATCTTGACATTTGTCTTCCCCATATCAGGCGTCAAGCTGTTTCTGTTGAAGTGGACATCATGCTCCAACTCCACGAGTGTATCAAACCTGCGTCGCGGTCCATTCGAGCCACCGAACGTACGTAACCCATAACTGCCGCTGTTGTCCTCGGTTGGTTTGTTCTGAGTTCGATCGCCGAGAACTCGTGGGGCAACGTGCTTGAGGAAGACACGAAGGGTGGGGAGACAGCCGCACATGATGAGAAGATTGGCTTCGATGATACTGACATTGTTAGTCGCAGTTTCGGGTGTCTAGAAAGATACTTACACCCAGAGACAACCTTCAGCTAAGGACCAACTCTGATCTGGGTTCGATAAACTCGGTAGCAACAAGACCAATCGGACAATCGATGTGATGAGGGTGATGGAACCAATAGCAAACAACCCAACCAAGCCAAACTTTTGTCTCGTGGACATCTGCAGTCCAACGACAGTTGGGATAGGCAACAGCAACAACATCAAGTCGGTGACGCACCCGAAGGCAGCCTGTGTAATGTAGATCGGAGGACGATTAATACAGGTGGCACCAACGGAAAGTCTAACGTCCCAACCAGCCGCAATCGGCTTGCAAGCAAAAAGAACGCTGAACCAGATTCCGACTAGACTCGTTGTGCAGATGAAGGCGGTAAGATAGACAGTATATTGGTACCATAGCGACGGCGAGAGGCGGAAATAAAAGAAGCATAGCGTCAATTTCGATAGGATGGTCGTCGGGATATATGTGAGCGTTGTGCACATGACGAGCTGCAAGGGGTAAGCCAGAGATAGATATCGTCGGAGGTGATCATACCATTGCTGACTCGGTATTGCTGTCGACGGGCATCTCCCAGGCGTGGACACCAAGAAGCTTGCGACTATACGCGCTGAGAAGACATGACTGCGCGGCGATGGACAAGATCTGTACGGGTTAGTATGTCCTCCGATGTGGCATTCCAATTCCTTACCCAAGCAAAGAGGACCAACCCTATCAGATTAGCATCTATTAGAAATCCCCATCATAAGGCAACCTACAATCATCAAGAAGAAATTTCCGTAACAACACGGCATTGGTATACATGCGCTGTGCCAAGAATGCAGTCGCAAAAGCAAACTCCAGTCCAAATATCCAGAACGCCTTGCGGATCATCGACACATCCGTCTCAGGATTGTCAAAGTCCACTTTGTACCCATCGGGAGGTGGAACTGCCACCTCGACGCCATTAACGATAGGGAAGGACATGGCGACAGTAGTATTGGAAGCCAGGCGAGAAACAAAAAAAAAAGAGGAAATGAGAAGCTGAGCAGCCTGAAAGCTAAATCATTGTATCAATGAAGAAAAACAAAGAGAAGAAGTCCATTTGACCGTTAGGTGTCAACAGGCATCAAGAGCCGGCCATCATCTGGGGTACCAGAACTCTAAATTTCTACAGCGTAAGGGAATGTAAAATACTTTCGGAAGTGATATTCGCCGAGGAAGTTATTCCGCAGATTAAGAGAAACAAGGATCCGTTGACAGGAAATACAGTTTAGGTACGGGCCGTTTGGGTGTCAAAAGAACTAGCAACTCCACGCATAAGGGACGAAATAGTTGGATCACGATGTACCAACTTGGACCGAAACTTAGATTACTTTATTTTGTAGCCTAAGCACCAAAGGAGATTCCTCCTGGTACCCTTCTGGTTGTGCAGTTGGTTTCTTCTGTTTCTTCTGTTCCTGTGGATCCTTTAATGCAGGGCTTTTACGGGATGGTCGAATGAAGAGGCGGTGGAAATGACCAGCCTTTCAGCTGTGACAAGGGTTGGAAACTTTGTTTAGAGATCTTCATGACCTTTGCCTCTTGTAGATTGTCAATCCCAACTGCCGAAGTCACATTTATTATGACGGTAGGTATAATTATGCCTTGGGGTGAGGTTGCTTTATGAACTTCTTACGACGGGAATATGAACCTTCTTGGCCCCGTTATCCTTTGGAGGAAATAGTTTGTCGATCTCGGGGGCTTTACGTTAGCCTTAGTTAAATAATCTTTTGCTTCAATTCTCACACCTTCAAGTCCCACCAGCCGCACATCATTTTAAACACACAAGCCCATGTCCATGGCAGAGTTGAAAATGCGAGATCAACAAAACGAATGCTTAGATGTTGGTGATAAAGCCACCTGTTTGTGATGAATGAAGATCAATCCTCCCGGCTGTCACTTCCCCGAAGAGCAGACAATTCCAGGATCATCAATACCAGAACAAGCATTCCGCGAACTAGGATCAACCAACATGCATATTTCACCCCTGCCAACAGCACCTGACAAACCAATCGCATACAAACTTGCTTCCAATGCGCCATTTTCTTCGCCTGAAAGCAAGGGTCCATACAACCACCAGTGTCTCAAAAGTCGATCACAAAAGACCAAAGCTTCCGCACAGGCTCTTGTCTCTTGTCTCCAGATCATCTTCCGTTTCAGTGTCACATCTGTCAATATGAAGGCCAGTACAGCAGTCTTGGCCTGGACGGCAATGCTCCTCAGCTCAGCTACAGCAATGGAGAAAGAGAACTGCGTAAGCCCTGCATCCCTATTCATTAATAGAGTAACTAATGTTTCAGTGTGCTTTGCTTGAGGGTGCTGGGTTGAAGCACGTTTATGCGCCTGACAGTCAAGGTTACAAGACCCGAACTCAATCGTACTTTTCTGTCTCGTCGCAGTTGCAGCCTTATTGCATCGTGCAACCTGAAAGTGCCGAGGATGTATCTACTATTATAAAGACCTTGGTTCCTGATACGAAGTGTAATCTTGCCGTGCGGAGCGGCGGGCATACCGTCTGGGCAGCTAATAATAGTAAGTTAGATGTCCATTGTGAAACGAGGCTTATCTAATTTGCAGTCAACGACGGTGTTACTATCGATCTAGGTACATATTCCCTAGCTATTTGATTATGCTTTCTAATTTATTTAGGGTTGATGAATAAGACGACATACGTGGAAGAGACAAAGGTTGCTCAAATTGAAGCTGGTTCCATCTGGAGAGATGTCTACGAGACCCTTGAGCCATTTGGTGTCACTGCTGCTGGTGGTCGTACCTCGACGGTTGGCGTCGCTGGCTTCTTAACTGGAGGTGGTAATACCTTTTACACAGCCCGTCGTGGTTTCGGATGCGACCAGGTTGTCAATTTTGAAGTCGTTCTTGCTGATGGGTAAACATTCACACCCTCCCCTCTGAACATCAACGCTAACAGTCCCAGACGCATCGTAAATGCCAACAACGACGAAAATGCCGACCTCTGGAAAGCGCTGAAAGGCGGCTCTACAAATTTTGGCCTCGTCACCCGCTTCGACGTTCAAGCCTTTGACGCTCCCCTTCTCTGGGGTGGACTTGTCACGTACACGACCGAAACAACAGAGGCGCATGTCGAAGCTTACAAGAACTGGACCGATAACATCGAGAACTATCAGGATGGGTCTGTGATTCCATTCTGGAGCTATACGCCTCAGGCTGGCAAGATTGGCATCACCGTCTCGTATGAGGATACCACTGGTGTCGCTTCACCAAAGGCCTTAGATGAGTTCTGGAAGATTCCTTATGAGACATCCAATTTGCGCAAGGATAGTCATCGCAACATGACCGTCGAGCTTGAACTTGTTGCCGGATACCGGTACGTAATGACCTCCACTGATACGGTCGAAGACTAATTGAGCAGAAATGTTTGGTTCGCTATCACCTTTAAGAACAAACTCTCCATGTACCAAAAGGCCCTCGCCCTGCATGAGCAATTCGTCGCCGACTGGAAGTCCCAATCCCCCGACGGCGACTTTATCAACCACGCCATCTTCCAAGCCATGCCGACCATCTTCTCGAAACACTCCATCTCACGAGGCGGAAACGTCGTTGGTCTCGACCGGGAGAAGGATAACGCCGTTATGTTTCAAGTCCAACACATGATCAACGGTGTTGAACAGGAGAAGCTTGCTCGTGAACGAATGGTCAAGTTCCGCGAGACGATCAAGCAATACAGTGTAGAGAAGGATGCTGCTGTAGAGTGGGAATATCTCAACTATGCCGACTTTACGCAAGATCCTCTTTCTACGTATGGAAAGGAGAATATTCACTTTTTGAAGAAGGTTGCTGCGAAATACGATCCCGCTGGGGTGTTCCAGACTCGTATGCCCGGAGGTTTCAAGATCTCCAAGGTCGCCTAGATGAACATAAATAGTACATGTTTAGATACGACGGAATGATGACATGGTATACTCACGCCTATGCTCTAACTCTCTTCTTGCGCCTCCATGGCTATAGTCGCTTGTGAGCACTACACAACTACCCTCCGAATTTTCACGTTTAGACTGTTTCAATCGCGTTCCTGAACAAAATCCCTGAATTTCTGCGCAAAGTCGAGCAGGGCGATGGGTGTTTTTTCCTGACAGACCGTGCACGTAGTCTTCTGCAGCGATAATCAAAATCTTACATCACATCTGATGACGTTATTGGACTGGCGTTTCTGAAGAGAGCCCGGTTTGTTGGTAACTATTAATAGCGGTTGATTTTGTAGGGTAGCAATGAGCCTAAGCAGCTGTATCAATGCTAAATTGAGAGGCCATTTTCAACGTATTGGAGTCCGGTATGGTGTAGTGGCTAACATTTCGCGCTCTCATAACCTGAGAGATCAAGTTCCGCGGAGCCCAGGGTTCGATTCCCTGTACCGGAGTTTGTTTTTGCACATCCTGACACCTTTGATTCATCAAATCTTTATGTTCTCTTTTTCTACTGCCGGCTCGTTGGAAGATGGGGCTTGCTGCATAGGTAGGTAGCTCGAGCATCTGTTATACACCGCCACAATGACTTCGTGCGCCTCAATAACACCGCCACATCTTTCAAAGTAAGTGCATTCAGACACAACCGTTTGGAATTTTCAAAGCTGAATAACTCCCCTGACTCACACAGTCACGAGATTAGAGGTATATCATCGTGATCGCCTCAATTCGAAGAATGTCTCCATGTTGAAAAAGAAAGACCTGTATTTTTGAGATGTCAGCCCAATGTGAGCGCGTCGATGGGGCACCGACGGAAAGTGAGGGCATTCAGGGATCCAGACATAGCCGTTCAAATTCTTAGGATACGAATTTCTCCACCGTAAGGAGTCACCAAATAGCAACGGGTAGACCAATGCGATTGAATAACGCTGAATATGATTATCTGTAGAGACCTTGGTGATATTCTGCTCGGTAAGGAATCTGCGGTACAAAGGAGGAAGCGGGGACATCAGAAACGGCAACCCCGTCGAGGTGGGGGTACTAAAAGTGGAAGCCCCGCAAGACATTCAATCGGGCAGTCACTGCTGATGCTGCACCTTCCGCTCCGGAGCTCGCCTACTATTGGCACGCTGTACAGCTAAAGAGGGGCAGGATATGAATTGAGATTTATGAAGTGAATTTGTTACTTGATTTAACTTGACCAGCAGAAGTGTCTGCCCTTAGCTTCCTATACTTGAAGATCTATGCTAGGCTTGTTCAGGCTTGCGACCCCAGACGACCCGCTGCTTGTAGTAAGGATGATGCTTTCCAGACTGGATCTCCCGTCTTGCGTGCGCAAGATAAACATGAACCTCGGACGCTGACCAACCAATGGTATTGGCAACAAAAAGAACAAACCCTTCGGGATCAGCCAGGAACGCAAGTTTGCCAAACTGACCAAGCTCCTTCAGCTCCGGATCCTTGGGCCAGCCTCCGATGGGTGTCTATCACCAAGTTAGCTTGGTCAGCAGATCAGGTATCAAACATACCTTGTACTCAAATTGCTGAATGTCCACAAAGCCAGCAGCCTCCATAGCCTTGCGCTGCAGCTCTTCTTCATACACGGTGAAGCTCATACCGAGCTTCTTGGCACCCTCGATAAAGATCTTACCCCACTGATCCAACGCAGAGTTCTCCTCCACAGTGCCGTCGTCGGAGGTAATGATACCAGAGGGTTCATGGCTCTCAACCCAACCGCCGGGCTTGCAGGTCTTGTACGCTTCGGCATAGAAGCTGTACCAATCGGGGATGGCACCAACGAGCCAGCGGATGTGGATGTAGTCGGCTGAGTCGGAGGCAAAGGTCCATTCTTGGGTGCAGTCTTCGATTTCACTGTAGGTGTTAGTCAGAAGGGAGTGTATGTGGTTGGTACATCCATGACTGACAATTGCACATTTGGGGGGACCCAAGAGGGCTGAATTGGAGACACGTCGGTGCCGATGACTTGGATGTTTGGGTGTTCATCTGCAAAGTCTCTGTCCTGGGTTAGTACTGCAACTAGAAATGGATCCTTCGACTTACAAAGCCCAAATACCTGTTGATTCAATCAGCTAGCGTTCTCAAATTGCAAAAGCTCGTCTACATACCGGTACCAGTTCCGATATCAAGCGCTTTCTTCAAACAGTTAGCTTCCGATTACATCCCTTCTATGTGACTTACTGTAATCTTGCTCGTATCGATGGGTGCAAGGTGAAGCTTTCCTCCAATACCTAGAGTAAGACAGTGATGGCTTGCATTGTTAGCCGTGAGCTGTCTATGTACAGAGTTGAACTTACTTGATGTCAAGGACCTCACTCTGTCGCTCGTCATTGGCCGCCCTGTCTATGTCAGCCTTATTGTCGATGATGAACCAAGGAAAATCGTACCAATATTGTGCACTACCAATCTCGCGATGGTATGTCCTGCCATGGAGCTTGCGGTACTCAAAAATACTAGAGGTGACCGAGTCTGTAGATTGCGCGAGGCTCTCCTCACTCAATGAATGAGCATCATCATCAGGGTCAGCATTCTCTTCCTACATATTATTAGTATATGAGCAACAAGAAGCATATTACTCTTACCTCGGCAAGTTGTTGCCAATGCTCCGGCTCGAGAACTCCTGCATCTGCCACGCCTGTTTGAGCATGCTGCGGGGGACTCTTCGAGGGGCTCTTGGAGAGGCTCTTTGCGGGACTTTTAGCAGGGCTCTTGACACTTTTTGGGCTTGTCGCAGCCGCAGGGGGGGTCGACATATTGAACAGACGTAAGTGTTTTTGAGTTTCGGAAGCGTCAAGTCCGTGCAGAGAAAAGAGATCGCAAAAGGAAGAGGGGAATTGGGAAGCCTCGTTCTGATGAGACAATTAATGGCTCCTCATTAGGGGCTCGCCTACCAGTTCGATTGATTAGACGAGCGAATGAAAGACATATTTAGTGATGATCTGACAGGGGGGACGTGTCAGTTCATGCAGGGTTTAACGTGGGGTGGTGTACAGTGGTTTAGGGTAGTTAGCTTTGCTAATCCTTTCGCAAGAGAAAGACATTGATCACTGATGCACAGCTGGGAAACCAGTTTTAAGGATTAACGGATGACGTACTTGAAAGTCTTGAGTGTGATTAATTGTTTTCAATACAAAATGGAAAAGTGTGGTGCTCTGGCAAGCGGGATTCGCTAAAAATTGATGTTTCCGGTTCCAAACTTCAGCTGTTTCATCAAATACCAACGCAACCAACATCATTTGATTATATCGACCTATCAAGTACTTCGCCCACGAACGTGGTACATATATCGGTTACTACGCCTTCTTTCTTGTAGGGGCGAACTTTTCAGACCCAATTCTACAGGGGTGGTTTCATCAACGATGGACAAGGCTGGCAGTGGGTTCTGGTAAGACTAAACGCCGTCTACCTTGGTCAAAACTTACCCTCTAACAGCATTGGTGTGCGATTTTCAATTCTATAGCATTCGTTGTCATGTTCTTATGCATGGAAGAAACGAACTACAATCGCGCCATCGGCAGTCCTTCATACGACCCTATAACTCCTGATCACGAGGATCCATCCGACGGCGAGAAAGGCATCAAATGCCGGAAGACGCACAATGCCGAAGTCGGGACTGGCAATATAGCATTATCCAAAAGAACATATCTTGACAAGGTCAAGCACTTTCGGCGCGAGCAATTTCAGGATGTTCCATAGAAAGGAATGCTCACTCGACTTTTCGGTATTTCTCGCTTCCTATCGTTGTATTCTGCGGCTTTATGTATGGAGCAGTTATCCGTTACTTCGGCGTCTTGAACGGAGCAGCATCTATCATACTTTCTGGAGCCCCATTCAGCTTCTCTCCAAGGATGGTTGGTCTTTGTTATGTATCTTGCGTTAGTGGTGTATTCATCGGGTAAGTCACTTACAGATATGACGAAACTTCAAGTAACTGTTACAGTGCTTACTACTCCGGTCCACTTGGTAATAAGCTTATGATATACTGGACTCGCCGCAACGGTGGCCTCAGAGAGCCAGAGTATCGCCTTTGGTAATACGTCGCCTTGGTTGTGATCGTACCAAGTGCTCTGATCTTCTGGGGTGTTGGTGCCGCTCATGCTATTCACTGGCCAGGCCCTTTGGTAGCTATGGGCATGATTGCAGCTTCAATCACCGTTGGATATCAGAATCCCATCACTTACTGCATTGACCCATACACAGAGATCAGTTCTGATGTTATTTTCACTATCATCCTAATTTGCAACACCATGAGTTCCTCACTTTGGTACGGGTAAGTCATTTCCAACTTTTTAGGATCTTTACTAATGTCATTGCAGTGTTACACCTTGGGTTACAAACATGGGCTACCAAAACGCCTTTATCGTAGCAGCTTGTGTTTCGCTTGCACAGTTTGCTCTTGCGTTTGTGTTCGTCAGATATGGCAAGCCGATGCGAAGGAGTAGTGCGGCAAAGTATGCAAGATATGTTCAGAGAGCCAAAGCTGATGGACTCGCTCACTAGACTATCTGTACTTGCTGCTTCTATCGTATTGTCTCCTCTTACATCATCTGCATAGTGCGTATCAGGGTAACCCGGAGGGTTAGTACTGTACTTCTTTGTTTATCTTCTGTATTCAATTCTAATACTTCGTTGTGATTCAACTTGTTTCGCCCATAAAGGCTATCTGCACTTGTTCCGACTGGGGTAAATCGATAGTGCATACTCACAGGCGGAGACCCTGATCGCCATGACATGATTGAGAATGTGTTATAATTTAAAGGGCAACTCTGCTACTCGATTCCTCTGTCTTTGTCCTTTCGGTAAGCACGGAAACTTCCTGACTTAGGTAGCAAAGCCAGCGAGTTCAAATTATCGAGCCCTTTACTTGATCGCCGTGAACATATTTCGGAGATAAAACAACTCGGAAAAGACCCACGTCCAACTCACTCCGCTTCGGAAAAGACCCACTGACATCACAATGCTGACGCGCCAAGGCGACTAATATCGGCAGTCACGAACTCGAAACGCAGGATCTTCCAGTAGTGGTGAGCATGTGGATCAAGTCTCCAGATGTTGATTACAACAACACCAGGTTGATCGCTCCTGTGGCCCAGCGACCTTCCAAGGTAGCCCTACAGCCCTACCTCCTGGGCGAATCAGGCGATGCTAGTGGCAGTGATCTTGGCGAAAATCCTTCACAATGCACGGCGACGAAATATAATACGAATCGAGCCAAGCCTCATTTCGGCAGACGTCCTTGCGAATCCTACAATTTTCTTGGTTACGAGAGGCGCCAGCTCATCAATATTTTTTTTAATACATATAGCCACTTCACTTCATTACGATATTCAGAAGCATCTCCAACAACAACCTTTACATCCCAACTAGAAGTCCTACTTCCGTCACTCTTTTGGAATGAAGACTACTACCGCTCTTTTAACTCTCGCCGCAGTGGCGGAGAGCACTCCTTTATTTTCCAAGCGCCACACCGACGATGTCTTCGAAAGCAAGGAAAAGATGTGCAAAGGTTGGGATTTGAGAACGGCCGAAGGTGTCGACAAACTCTGGACCGAGACAGACGCTGGTATCGATCTTGAGCTGTTCATCAACATTCATCCCGGTAAGCTCTCTGGCTGTCCTCCATAGCGACCTGCTAACTATATGTTAAGAGCACCAGAACAATTGGCTCAAGAACCTCGAAGACCGTGTCATGGGAGGTACAGACGGAAAGTCTGGAGCCGCCGGCTGTGCAGTCATTGGAGGTAACTGCAACCCCATGGGCGGAATCGGTTGTGAGAAGCAGTTCGAGAAATATGGCACTACGTTTGTCAACAAGAATTCGTATTGGGTTTTTCAATCAGTCAAAGGCATGCACGGCAAATTCGCTGAGTTGCATCGCCAGTTGACCACTGAGACCCTTGTCAGCGGCCTCAAGATTCCTAACATGGTTGATGAATTTGAAGGAAAGGAGAATAAGCCAGATAACATGAAGGGATGGTTGTCTGCGGCTGCTACGATGGGCAATGCCCTTGGTGGTCTTGTCCCTGGAGTAAGTTACCTTCTCTTATTGACCCACACATCACTAACAATTTTCAGGGCTCTCAAATCTCTGCTGGCCTTGGCCTTATGGCTGGTCTCATGTCCGGTCTCTCACTCAGCGACGACGAGGACAACGGTGCTGCTACTGTCTCAGCTGGTCTCGCTGACCTCTTCAAAGCTGCTTCAGTCCAGCTTGAAGACACCCTCCGGATTGCCACCGGCGGCGGTCGGAACGAAGACGAGTACAACTCTCTTCCCGCTCCCAAATGGGACACGTACCAAACCAAGATCGCCAAGCTCTTCAACGGCGGTTGGTTCCTTCTCGATGATGACGTCGAGGCTGTTCGAGTAACTCTGGGCTCTATCACCAACAACATCCAGAAGAAGGTCGCCAACGATGTCATGAAGTCCTCCCACCTTTACCTCGTTGCCGATAAACTCGGTGGCAAAGACTCACGCGAAAAGTGCGGTTTCTCGAAGGGTCGACAATGGCTACCTCTTCGTGACGGCGAGGAATACTGCTGGTACATCATGCGCAACGACCCCAAGGCCACTGCTGAGGGTGCTTGGCGCGAAGTGAAGCCTGATATCTACGACAAGATGGCTTCGTATGGTCTCGGTGATCGTGAGACTTACTACAAAGCTCTTATTGATTGTGCTCTGAACGGCGATAACAAGGTCCAAACCGACAAGCTTGTTCAGGGTGAAATTCCGAGATGCTTCTTTAATATGCCTGCTGTTTTTGTTACTCATAACTCTGAGCATGGCTGTGGAAGTCCTTTTGATAACCACAAGTGTGACTACCGCAAGAGCACTCCTCTCAAATAAATCAGGAGATGACTAGCTCTCTTTTTGTCCGAGTAACATCGGAGGTGGCCCTTTCATGTCCATATTCAATTCTTCACGGCTTTGTCTCTAGCATACCTACCTGTTATAATAGCACTACCTGTAACATGACCATTGATCCTCCATCAAGTATATAATAAGTAGTACTTCTTCACATCAACTAAGAATACATCGTGCATAGGCCAACTCTGGCTTCCCTGGTCCGGGGCTTCGCTGTCGAATCTCGAAAAGTGAAGTAGATGCCACCAGTTCCCTCAGCTTCTTGAATCCATATGTACGAGGATCAAAGTCCGGATGCCACTGAGTAATCAGATGTCCAACCTTGGCAAGATGCGCCCAACCTTCTTCATCCGATGATACTTCCACCGCCTGCCACAGTGAGTCCTTGAGCTTCTTATCAACCTCTTGGATTTCAGATACAGTTGAATCCTGGGCATCTGGCTTTTCGACTTCGCTGTTCAGTCTCTTGCGCTTCGATGGTGGTGTTTGGGCTGATTGGGGAGGAAATAGATCAACTGTAACTACTGTCCCCTCAGGGCGAGCTAACTGCGCTGTCTCCGTTTTCGGCAACAGATTCTCGATGTAAATGAATCGATCGCAGGCTGTGACAAACGGTTTGGGAGTCTTTCTTTCTCCACAACCATAAACAACAAGACCAGATTCTCGAATTCTTGAAGCAAGTCGAGTAAAGTCACTATCACTCGAGACAATGCAGAACCCATCGAACTTGTTTGAGTACAGAAGATCCATTGCATCAATAATCATAGCCGAATCAGTCGAGTTCTTTCCGGTAGTATAGGCGAATTGTTGCATTGGCTGGATTGAGTTCTCAAGAAGAGTTGGTTTCCATTTGCTCAAGTAAGCACTGGTCCAGTCGCCATAGGCCCGTTTAACGAAGGCAGTGCCGAACTTGGCAATTTCAGCTAACACGAAGCTCACTGCATAGCGACTTGTGTTGTCTGCGTCGATCAAGACTGCGAGCTTAACGCTTGGTATTACAGTGGCCATACTTGCATTGGCATGAAAGGACTGATGTTGTTAAAGTAAGGCGGCTAAATGCGGGGTACTAAGGCGAACGCCGTGGGTGAGCATGTGATCCAGCTTCCTATTTTCAATTGACCCTGGTCGTCTGAATGTGACGAAAGCCAGCAACGTTGTTTTCAAATACACCACTGGATATCTGTTGACATTAACCGCTAAACCTACGTTTTCTCTAATTTGGAGTAAGTACCCTGCTGAGGATATCTGCGACGCCATTTTCCAAAACACAGCCACTGCACATCTTTTTGAGCCGATTCAATTGACCAATCAACATGTTAAACCAGTACAGCCTGTTCCATGGCGATGAACAATGCAGCTGCTACTGCACAGTGGTCCTGAACCAACCTAGAGCACCAGAGTCGCATGTTTCACCCATTGAGCGCGGGGTATTACCAGAAGCATGAGAACTAGTCAGTAAGACAAATACGGTACAGTCAGATGATGTAACTTGTGATACTTGGCAATGTTGACCGCTGATCACACAAGATGAGTTTTAAAAGGATGAAAGTATATCTTGGGATGAGTTGCGTTCCTTCTTTGTATTAATACCAAATCGCGCCGAAGTAGTCATCTCGTCAAACCAACTGATTCTCTCAATGGAAGCAGGCCCTTCAACCGATGCTGACATCCAAAACAAGGTCAAGAAGGCCCTTGAAGGAATAAGTCTCGAGATTTCGTCTCTCGAAAAGCTTTCGGGAGGGTCTGTGAACTGGATTTATGTGGAAAAATTGAAAAGGCCATTGGAGGATGGGACGCTCGAGGTTTTGGTGAAGCATGCCGAGTCATACATGGCGTCCAAGCCAGACTTCACTTTACCTTCACTACGCTGCGTCTACCGCCATCAGTGAACTAATGCTTTTTAGACCATTGAAGTTGAGAGTTTGTAGATTCTCTCCGGCAAAGAAACATCGAGCTCAAGCGACTCTTACAGATTTATTACACGAACGCCCAAGCTGTATGACTTTGATGCAGAAGGGTTCAATCAGTCAATAGGGCTACAGCCCAAGGGAATCAATCTGAAGGACTATGCAATCAAGAAGTTTCGCTCACCAACACCCTAATTTCGTAATCCACAGTGTTACGCGCTTGGCAGGGCTCTTGGCAGATGGCTGAAGGACTTTACTGAATGGAATTCTCAGCAGACCGATCATCGAGAAGTTATCGCCCAAAACGAGTTCGCTCAGACGGTCCGACACATGGTAGACTATCAATGGCTGCACAAGCGGATTGAAGAGTTCCCGTCAGTCCTCAGTGACGGTAGGGCTGTCCTTGAAGAAGTTGAGAAGACAGCTGCCGCTGAGCTGAAGGAACATAACAAGCTGCGTACTATTCATAGGGATAACGAAGCCCTTAATCGCTGGCTCATCACGGCTCCCAATCCGGAAGCCGTCGATGAATGGTGGCGTGAGGCTTCCGAGAAGTCCGATGTCAGGCGTCTGGGTACTGACTTCTACACCTACACTAATGGGACACCTCCAACCTTTGCTCCAACGACTTCGGCCAAGATCATGTTCACTCTGATTTACGATCGCGATGCCAGGCCTACTTCAATCTTCGACCAGCCCGATAGGACCGATGTTGTAGGCGGTAATGCGCATGTCCCTTCTCCAGTCTTTTTGTATCCCCACATCATTGACACTTCGTCAGATACTACATTCGTTCCAAAACCAAAGACATCTACTGGCTCGAAATTGGTGGTCTGATTTACGCTACCAAGCAAGGCCGCACTCGCTTCGTTATCCGTCTTGCTGGACAGCAACAGCAGAATGGCGATAGAAACAATATTGTTCTGATCGACAAAGACTTTGTCTCTATCAGTGCTATGGGGAGTAAAGGCATAAAATATGTCAGCACGAACGAGGATGGCGAGTTGATCCTTAATGGACACAGTCATGGCTTATTCTATGGAGATCTCAAGAAGAACTTCCTCGCTCAGGGACAGACTGGTGAGTCTGATAGTGTTCAGATCACCCAGACCGACGGCTACGGAGAGGAATGGGAGCTTGTTAGGCAGATGTAGCGTCCGGAGCTTAGCTGTACCTTCTAGCTCATTGTTTAGATTATCTCTAGGGAGGAGGACTGGAAGGATATGTATCCTACATCTACTAAGCAGCTGTGTTATTTTCATCAACTGCCCTAGCGGTATCTTCGGAACTCCCTCCCTTTTCTTAATGGAAATTCTACTGCAAGGTATACCCTACTAGACACTGAACTTATCGGGTTGGCCCCCGCCCAAGTCGAGATCCACAAAGCCAACATTGAACCCGATTCCGCCATCCCAAACAGCTACACCATCAGGTGTAAGCCCGACATTGTTTCCAAATAAGAAGAAGCATGAGAGTGTTACCAAGGAGATAGCTAAGAACAAGGGAAAGGAGGAGGTCGTAAATAGCAACGATGTTGATGATTTCAAAAGTTACATCGCTGAGATTCCGTTCTCAGAGCTCAAAGCAGTCACTGACTCTGACATGGTTCGTCGATCCTTTTTGAATGAAAACCATTCGGTGCTGACTTCAGTCTTTGGATTGAGTCTGTCGAGGTGGATACTATTATCAAAGTCTCTGCTATTGCCGCCCCACCTGGGGAAACGCAAGTTTGCCGGCGCTAGCATAAAGAGAGGGAGCTTATGGATGATCTTTATTTTACTAGATGTCCTAGAGACAAACATCCACGAAGCCGTAAAATTCCCCTAAACTCGTCTGTATATCCCCGTGATGAAGTGTATCTAATTAAGTAAAAGGGATGGTCAAAGTATCAAGTCCCGGATTTGGCTACATACCCCGGGTGCCACCGGTCTCCATGAGTCTACACCGTATATAGATAAATTCTCCGAACTATACATTCTCTGTTTCTCATTCATCCTCAGAGTCTTCAGGTAGAGGAGCGTTAGCCCGCCATCCTTGCAAGGTTTCAAGATAGCGCAGAGTGTCGGGATTTCTACGACCTGACCTCTGTTCTTGCAGACAAGCACAGTCTTGCACCAAAACCAACGCATCCTTGATCCGGCCCTGATCATACCAGCTAAATGCCAAGTTATACATACCCGTTACTGTTTGAGGGTGATCAAGGCCGAGGGCTTTCTTCGCCGTCTCGACTAATTGTACTTGCAAGTCCGCTGCCTCTTCAAACCGGCCCTGTCGACTTAGCGTTAAAGCAAGGTTATTCATACCTGACAGAATATAAGGATGTTCAAGTCCATGCGTTGCCTTCCTTCTCTCCAGAGCATCTAATCCTAGCGCCTCTGCCATGGTCGGGGCCGAGCGTTGCCTGGGACCTCTCCAATATCTCAACTTCTAACTTCTCTGCCTCGTCGAAGCGACCCTGATCATAAAGGATTGTGGCAAGATTGGACATATCGTCCAATGTCCGCTTATCGTCAACTCCATGTGCTGCCTTCCTCATTTCTACAAGTTCGGCTCCCAGCTCCGCCGCCTCCTTTAGCCTGCCTCGAAGTCGTGTTATTGAGGCAAGAGCGGTCTTGCTCGCCAGAGTGTCAAGATGATCATGTCCAAGAAGGGTATCTCTTGCTTCAATTGACCTCTCTACAAGTATTTGGGCTCGCGAGTATTGGTCAATTGCCTTCATATAGTAAGACATTCGAAGGAGAAGCGTAGCCCAATCCTTGATCGCACTCCGCTGAATCGGTTTTATACCAAGGATGGGTTCCACGTGAGTAAGGGGTGTTTGGCAAATAGACCAGTCTTTGAAAGCAGTGGAAGGGAACTTCTTTGCAGCCAGTTTGATAAAGAGAATACTCCATCTTGCAGAGTTCCCTAGTTCTGAGATCCATCCACGAGTGCAGAACTGGACGAGAGGGTGCATCGAGAGGTGACCGTCTGTCGTTATGTCTACGAGGGAGTAGCTTCGTAGGATATCCAAGTCATTCTCAAATGCCATTTGCTCGTTGTCGTCGTCGCTTCCAATGTCAGACTCGTTCACGTCATCGCTACCATCCTCGATCGCTGTATTGACCCCATTGGCCGCTCCCCGAGTGTTGATTTCGCGATCATCATCTCCATCGTCCGCAAAACGATCATCATTGTACCAATGCAGCATAAACTCGGGAATGTTCTGAGACTGAAACTGACTCATCAGTGAAAGAAGATTGGCAGCACTAGGATGCTCGTCCCTGATTTGCTTGAAAGTCACCTGCCACGTCACGACAACAGAATTCGAGACTCCTGCTTGTCGGCCCAGGTCTCCCTTATCACTGCGTAGAAGGTTGTGCTTTCGCTTCTCACTCTTGTATAAATCTTTTAGGTATGACTTGGCGGTGACTCGTGGACTGTGACGATTGATGTATGCTGCTGCTTGCTTTACCGCCAGGGGAATACAGTCAAGGGTACGAACTAATTCCTCCGCTTCGTTTCCATTCACTCTGTCTTCCAGTAAGCTCTGCAGCAGTTCAAGAGCTTGATCCTCTGCCATGATGGGAATGCGGTATATCGCCTTAGTGTTGCCAACAAGTCTTTGCGCGGTGTCGAGACTGCGTGACGTAACTAGGACTTTGCCCTTTGTCGATTTGGGCAGGTATGAGGCAAAGGAATCGTCCTCGGAAAAGAAGACTTTGCCATCGTCGGCATTGTCGACGATCATAAACCAGGGGTGGACGTCGTCCCTTTGCAGCCAGTCTCGTACCAGTGCTAGAATACTAACCCCCGGTTCATGCCGGCGAGGTAAAGCAAGTACATCAGCAAGAGCCCGATATGATTCTTCGAAGGCCGCTTTGTCAGCTCCATGAACCCAGAAGACACTTCTTCCAGTATCAGCATAGATCTTGTGCACAAATTGTATGGCCAATTTTGACTTCCTATTCTGTTGTTAACATTGCTTTCGCGCTGCTGCAGTGTGCATACCCAAAGCCGCCCATGCCAACTAATGCCATTCGCTGGGTCATTTCAGCAAATTGTTTTTTCATCCATTCTTCGATAGATGGCCGGCATATGAAGTCTGGGTCTGGAGTAAGTGGCATCATCATATGAGGCTTTTCATGGGCCGATGCATCTCCAGTTACTTGAAGATTGAGCTGTTTTACTCCCTCTTGTATATCAAGAAGCAACGTCCTGTCTATATCAGTGGGTGCAATACACAGAAGCCTTTCTCAACACATACGTCTGATCGACCTGAAGTCCAGCCAAGATAGACCCTTCGTAACCCTTGAGTCCATCCAAGAGCTGGTCGATGTCTTTGCTCTTGAATGGCCACTTTAACGATCGCATGCCGTACCGCCGCATCGGGCTCGGCTGCAGCTTCTTCAATGTACTCTCAAGCTCATTCTTGCAGCTATGAAAGGTAGCTATGAAGGCTTGGGAGGTTGGAAGGGACGAGGTTTTGCTTTCTTCGACGAGACGTTGGGCGGCTTTGAGAGTAATCTCCAAATGCTCTGCTTGGCGACGAAGGCGCTCGATATCCGTGCGGGCAGAGGAGACCCCTTTGGAGTATTGAAAGCATACTTTTGCAATTTTGGCAGAAAGATCGACGAGAGCGATGATATTTGCGACAGCACCGATCGCTTCCATGGTTATTGTAAAGCGTAACACAGGCAGATGGTGAGAAAGTGTCAAACGGTTTGAAGCCAGTCAGAGTACCCCTCATTTTTCGACCAGGGGTTGAACGGTGGGCCAAGTGTATAAGCAATGCAACACAAATGGGGGGGCTGAGTTTCTGTATCTATAATTCATCCTGTGATTCCAAGCTGTCCAAGTTGAGAATAATATGGCTATGGTGAGTTAATGTTAGCCGTCATATTTTTGTTAGAGTTGGATTGGTGCTGTTTTTGTAGATTCATTATACGATCTCAATTTATCCGCCAATCACCGCAGCGCAAAGCCTAGAGCCCTGGCGCTAAGCATCATACTGCACCTTCATTCGCTTGTAGAATGCTGTGTGGGGCTCTAGAGCTTGATGTAAAGGAATTAGTCAGAACAGCCTCCATTTGACACCTAGGTGCAGGGTAAGGTACATAGCTACAGGTTCCTTCTCAAACATGGGACACCTTAACAGTTGTGTAATACATAGTTGAGGTAGCATTCTTGAGTCCTTTTTAAGCCTTGTTACGAAAGAGATACGCATCATCCTTGACGTCTTCAATGCATCGCCACATCGTAGCGCAACCCTGGGTTACCACCGCCAACAAGTGACAGTATCACTAAATCGAATACCTCAAAGACGGGTGAGAGGGAGATGATGATGATGGACGCTGTGAGCCAGGTATACTGCCTATACCCTTTGACTGTGATACAGCCTATGGCTTAGCAGGACGAGAGGTGGCGTTGTAGAGTTGACATCCAGACTCAACGGCGAAGGTCTGGTGGATTAGGTGCTGCACCAGTCCGTTATCATGTTTTCATTCTGAGATCCGATGGCCGCCATTGCAAGGCTGAATATTTGTATAAAAAGCCCAAGGGACCCAGGAAGGACAGCGAGAAAAACGACCCAAGCCCGACCTGTAAGTTCTGTGCTTCCATTTGCTTGTTGATCATTTGCTGCGGGTCTGATGTCTCGTTGAGCTTTCCTTTTGAAGACCACGGGTAGGGCCTGTAGTAGCGATCGAAAGCCATTCTCTTTAGCGATTAGGAACGCAAGCTGCATAATAACCCAATATCAAGAACGAAAATTATCAGCATCCATACAAGGACTATCTCAGGTTGAATGCTATTGGGGCATGTTTGAAGTTGAAACCAGACCGCCGTGATGATAGCTGGAATGATGGACAAGGCCTGCACCTTCCCCCACCGATGAACCCTGACGAGTGTGGTGGGAAGTGAGGCAGAAACCAGGCAAGGGTTTATGGTCAAAAGAGGGAGAGAGATCCTGTATCACTGGGTCTGATAGATGACGAGTGTCGCGCATGGTTTATTCTTGGTCCGGGATTCATATAAGTCTGCAATCGTCAAGCCTAAAGCTGGAGAACCGACCTATGTTGCATTGTTTAAATAAAATTCTCGATCTATTAGCAAGATAATTCTCTTATTATAACAATGTTAGGAACGTTAGAAACCTATGGGATGTTGAAGAGGATCATCTCAGCAACCCTGGCCTTAATCAATCAGCTTAGACCATATTCTCTGACTGCCGCCGGTTTGTACAATTGTGCTCTAGGCTAAGAATCCAGGATATTGAAATTAAAACTTTACTAATATCATATAATAATATGTCAGTTAGTCTTTGTTCTATATGTCAATAATAATACTACGTTACTTTCCATAGGCTTACACAAGCCAAGCTGAACAAGGTGCAACTATGGCGCTCCTATACGCGGGAAGCACTTTTCTATTTTAACATCTCACTTAGCCACTAGGCTAAATTACCATAAGAAGCAGCCGAAAGTCCACGTCAATACTATTATTATTGCCTACTATAGCTAATTGACACTAGCATATAAACTTCAGAGACTTCCACTTGCCACTGCTCATATAGCAATCATCAAGGTTATTCAATCTCACAGAAGTGCCTTGACAATTCTTCTTTGTGAATCGGATAACTAATAGGAAAGGTAGCAGTAAGTAAGAGTTATATGACATTCGGTCTAGAACTTGAACTTACTGTGACATTTACTGCTCTTTCTTGATTGCATGCTTACGGCAATGTCTTCGTCGCTCAGGTCCTTGATGCAGTGTCCGCTGTTATACTGCTTCTCATATACTGAAGTCTTGCATTTAAGGCTGTTCCAGAACTTGACGGTGATGTCCCCAGCCCGGCTCTGAAGGTGAGGCTCAAGACTGTCAGGAACAGTGTCGATAGGGTTGCTCAGGACCGGGACAGTAAGAAGAGATGATGCTGCCAGAGCAGTAGTAGTAAAGATGTTAAATAACATAGTGGTAGTGTCAGAAAGAGGTTGATGTAAGAATTCGGTCAACATTAACGTAGAAACAGTATTAGATAGGGAAAAGTAAATCACAGAATAGCAAGAATCAAGCAGCTACTTATACTTAAGAGGTAAGGTACTAGTTTATAGCTAACCTTACCTTTCTTACCATTCTACATATGCAATAACAACGAACAGTACTGTACTACACTTACGAGATAGTTGTATTTTCAAGTGTTACCTTCCTTATAAAGATAGTGCTTACATGCGGGATTTTTCAACATTTGTTATTCTAGCCCCCATAAGGAGGACTTTCTACGGTTGTATAGTCCCACTATATTCTCACTGCATTTTTCAACCCAATTTGCACAACTTGAATAGGCTGTGTTGATTGGTCGATTTAAGAAGTTAGCAGTATATTGCAATAAGAATGTTACATACAACGTATAGAGATCGACTTAAATAAATCTAAAAGCGGATTAAATAACACGTAGCAGCAGCGTAGTTACAACCCTGTAAATATTTAGTTATAGCCTCAATATCTCCAATTTATATATCTAGTACGCTATCCTTTAGTAAGGCCCTGATCGATTCGATACGTACGTCAGAGCGATACATAGAAGATGGAGGGGGGGCTGCCCGAAGAGGTATATCCGTCCAGCGCAGAGATATGCAATGTACCTTTCTGACTAAGGTCTCGCGACGTCGGCAGAGAGACGATCTTATACAAATAAAGTAATTTTTGGGCCCAATCTTGCAACCGTATATCCAATTGTGTACGTACGTTTGCTCAGTTATACGGGGCACCTCATACGTACGTGCACAAACATACGTACGTATAGCTACCCTAGAGGGCCTGACAAAGATACCTCTGAATTATGCAAAGTCCTTTTTTGCCCCACTTTACACGTATGTTCACAACGAACGTATCAAATCGAGCAGGGCCTAAAAGATATTACTTACAGACCTACCATTTATAACTCTTAGAGGAATACATATTTAAAGATAAGTTCAAGTGGCTACAGCAGCTCGTCAAGGTTGTAGACGACCTTAATCTTGGATGCGGCATCTCACACCAGGATATCGCTCCACGGAACCTCCTTGTCAACGAGAATACAGATTCTTTGATGCTCTTCGACTTCAATTATGCGGCTCGCATTAATCATCCATCTGATGAGGGGGAAGGATATGACAAGAATCGCAACGGTGTAAAGGGGGTTATATTCACTGCTTATGAGATTATCACACGAGATGATACCGTGCGGAGTATACCTCACGAAGAGCAGAGTCTCAATGACCTCGGGGAAGTTTGGCCCACGCATCCAGACGTCAAACCAGACGAGCCAGTTGACTCATACCAGCTTTTACTGCGAATGGCGAAAGCGGAGAGAAGGGGCCATGCATTCAGGAAATGCTCCAATTATTCTCCAGTGGCCATCAATGCCCAAACCACCTCAGAAGACGATTACTCTGAAAAAGGGTGACTGGAGATGAAACTCAGCTGAGGGTAGATAACCTCTACGAGAGACGGCAGGATGTATGGCCCAGGGGTGGTAAGGCTCTAAGTTGGACACGCCCATCACAGAGGGCGTTATCTAATGAGACTCATGTGCTTTCTACCGGCGAGATCATTCATAGATAGCACTTAGTCTACTCTCAGCTCTTATATCCTCCTGGTGCGTGCTACTGTCCTAGCCGCAGCATCATCACAAGGTCACTCCTGCCCTTGCAACTCTTGATCCGGAGCTTAAATACAACACGACGTAGTATCAGGGACGTCGACTTTTAACCCAGTGAGGTTGTTCCAACAGTGCCGGGCTATATATCAATGCGGTTCTTCAACATCCAGGATGACATGACTCTCTGTAGTATAAGCTCCTCGCAGCCAACTGCCGATACGGATGATCTTTCTTGCAAATATTCTCTCTTTGACAATGAAATCACTCGGTGCGGTACTAGCTTAAAGGATTGACATACGGAGGAATGTTCCTGTAGTTGGTTCTTTGGCCCAGCACGTAGCCAGGATCAATAAGGACTCTAAAAGATATCATCTTAGGCAACTTTGTAGTTTTATTAATATTAATATTATTAAGGAAGTATTTAATAACTAACCTATTAGAAGAAGAAGATCCTTTATAGTACCTATTGTAATACTAACTTTATAAGTTACAAAATACACCTTAAGACCAGACCTTTATTAGTATTTAGGTTCACAACCTGCAATTATTCTAGCATTAATTCAATATATATATTAGGGACTTGCACCTCAGAAAGACTCAAAAAATAGTGGATTAACATACTCCAAGTCCACATCAAGACCCAACCAAGCAGTATCTCTTGGAACTAGTGGATACAAACTTCCTGTACAAGACCACTAAGACGAGCGTCTTTGAGATCAATCTCGTCATTACCGAAGGAGTCTTCGGGTAATCCCAATGTTTCCCGTATAAACGTAGGAAAACCTTCTTTCATAAACCTAAATACGCCCAGTCTGACACAAGTTGTCTCGTCTTTTGCAATTTTCAACGGGCATAAAACAAGACCATGGGCAAAGCTGATAGTCCTAAATCGGAACGGCAAAATCAAGAGCTCCGAACTCCGTTCTTTTTGAAGCCTCGAGTATCGCTGTGGGTCCTCAGCAACAGACAGCTGGTATTCATCCCAGTCAATCTGAACCGCTACTTCTTCCACGGGATCTCGGCCAGGACGAGTGAGGAGATTCTTGAGCTTGAATCCGTTGGGATCAACATCCGAGCCACGATCTGACCCAGCAAGGCCAAGATCCTTTTCAGCACAATTTGTGAGGCACCCCCGCAAAACAATTCCCCGTAGACGCAATGTCGAACTGGTAAAGCTGTGTAATGCGTTGAGATCCTCAGATTGGACCGACACTTCCAAAGTCTCAACGCATTTTGTGTCCCGCCATTTTACTCTGAATTCTGGATCATAAACCACCGGTGCATCCATGTTGAGCCAAGACCAAGTAGGCGCTACATATGGTTTCATAGTTCTGATGGTCTGATGCGGGCGTGAAGTGTCGCAAACGGACCAGCATAGTTGGTATTCCAGGTCGTGCCGCCATAGACCAGCGAGATACGTATCCTTGGCTGTTTCACGGAACTCTGCTGCCAGGCCAGCGAGGGCGATCGACTTGTCAGTCAGATATGTGAGATGGCACTTCGAATAGGCCGTTACCAAAGTCGGCCAAGTAACTCGCGGTTCGAGGTTCTCTAAATAGTCCAATGTGACCAATGTTCCGCTTGGTCAATCTTCTCCATATATCCCGGATCTCTAAGAAGAGCCTCTATCTTTTTCTTGCGGCTTGCATCCACGGGGGAAAGATTCCATATTTGGCCTACCCTTTGCTCATAGGGTGACTGATTACTGTCAGGAGACTCTTCTGAGGCGCAGGTCCATCGACATGCCCAGTAAATTTGCGACTTTCCAAATCCCAATTGTCTTGGTGTTAAATAACGCTCTTGAACCACCCATGCTCTCGAGTTGTGTTTGCATTTCCTTCAATGAGCCGGGGTGCCCTCCTGGATTTACTCTCAAGAACCGGCTTTGCACTTCAAGTACACCACCCCGGTGTAACTCGCCTCTCAGATTCGAAGACGGGAGTTGTGTTGGTTCTAAGCCTCCGTCATGCCCTCCCAACACAAAGCTTTCAGACGGTAACGGCATTGGCGAATCTCCTCCGTCTTGTCCTCCCGGCTATGTCATGGAGAACAATGTCTGTACTCATGAGACTAAGCCAAACTGCCCTGTTGGCTCATATTTTGATGGTTCTACTTGTGTATCGGAGAAGCCCCCTTCTTGTAAGCCCGGCTTCTTCAATAGCGAAGTCTGTGAAGACAAGCCGTCCTGTCCATCTGGCTTTGACTTGAAGGGGAGAGTGTGTTCCTCTGAGAGCAAGGCAACTTGTGAGGTTGGCACATTTTTCTCTACTGATGACTCCACTGGTAACTCTGCTTGTTGTCACAGGAACTTCCCAGTTCAACGGAGAGAAGTGTTACATGACAGCTGAGAAGGAGGATGAGTGCCCCCCAGGATCCCAATACGATAACGTAAGATGCTGGATTTCTCCTCTGGCGGAACCGAGTTGCCCTGCTGGAGGAAGGTCCAACGGCAAGGTCTACATCGTTCAGTCAGTACCTGAGTGTCGATCCGGGACGTACACTAATGGAAAGTGTCTTGTTTCTGAGAATCCCAGTTGCCAAGGCGGTGCTGTCTTTGACGGGGAGAAATGTGTCATCGAGAAGCGCGCGACTTGTCCTCCAGGCTCATCCCTCAGTGGCAAAAAATGTATTTCGAGTCATGATCCGACCTGTGAGATTGGCCAGATCATGACTGGTGATCACTGCACCTCTGAGCAGCGCCCTGAATGCCTTGAGAAGTCAACACTTGTTGGTAGATACTGCAAGTACCCTGATCTTCCTTACTGTGAGGATGGTACCGACCGACACGGTAATGATTGCACCTCTCCAATCACCCCTGATTGCCCGGCCGGGAGCTCCTTCAACGGGAAGAACTGTGTTTCCAACACTCGCCCCGTCTGCAAGCCTGGATTTATCTTCAATGGCTTTACTTGTGTTTCTGAGAGGGATTCTCCAGACTGTCCCAAGGGCATGCACTTTGATGGCACCAACTGCGTGTCTAAGAAGCGTCGTGACTGCAGGGATGGTCGAATATTTGACGGCAGTGCCTGTGTTGATAAAAAGGACCCTTCATGTCGTCCAGGTCTCGTCTTTGATGGTACCAGCTGCGTCTCCAAGTCCCCACCTAAGTGTGAGCCCGGCACAAGCTGGAATGGAAGCAAGTGTGCGTCAGAGAAGAACCCAGGCTGTTCCCCCGGAATGACCTATAATTCCGAGACTGAGACTTGCGACTCCGACACCAAGCCCGGTTGTCCTGTGGGTACTGAACTTAGAGGCGATATCTGTGTGTCGCTGAAGCCGCCTCAGTGCCCAACCGGAACGACTCGTAAGGGCGGCAAGTGTGTCTCTCTTAACCCTCCCGAGTGCCCTCAAGGTCTTACTCGCAGCAATGGTCTTTGCGTCTCCCCCAAGCCGCCGGGGTGTGGTGAAGGTACCATCTTTGACGGCAAGCGGTGTGTTATTGGCAAGACCCAGGAGTGTTACACCTTGCATACCTGCCCCCCTGTTGGCGCTGCCGGATTGTCTGCCCCGCCTGTCCAGGTTCCTCTAGCTGCTCAATAATTCCCTTTTGTTAAACCCCATTGGTTTAGAAACGGTATACAATTGATTCATTATGACCTTATTTTTCATTCTCTTTGACTTGAAATTCTAATGTCTCCGCATCTGAATGTTGGGTAGAACCTGTTTAACTTGGTACTGGACGTCGATTGTCTCTTCTCTTTGTCGTCCCCGGTATCTTAAGAGCAATCATTAAACTGAAACGAAGATAATAAACTCTTGTTGTATTGTAGATATAAAATCATATCTCAGCATTATAAAGCCCATCGTTCCGGGAAATGCGATGCATATATACGAACACCTGTTGCGCCATGAAGCAGAAGTCTAAATTCTATTATATACAAGAAAACACAAATTTCGCATCCATCTAAATCACAGTAAACGCAACACCTCCAATGATGCCCGCTGCCATTAGGCCTGTTATGACCACAGCTAGTATCTTATCCATCGCTGTAATCGTCTTGTATTCAGGTTTATCATTGCTGACATCCAGGCCGGTGTTGCCTGCATTCGGGTTTCCTTTTGACGTTCCGCCAGTCTTTGTCGTTACAGGCGGTTTGGCTTTCGGCACGAGAGTATACTGGATGGCCTGTAACGCACTCATCTGTGGCCCGACACCAACAATCCCATCGAACTTGTCGGACAACCACGTAAAGCCACAAGCTGTACCCGCTGTACCTTTGAAGCCCTCTGCAGGGGCTCCTGTGCAGACAGCAGCGGCTTTTTGCGCAGATGCTCGTAGGATTTTCATGATGCGTTCGGAGGTGTGGGGTGCGATGAGTGAAGTGGTAGCCATCCATCGGGTAAGATACCCTTTGAAAGTCTGTTGATCCAAGTTGCACAGCTTGTGTTCTTCGCAGAATTGTTCGTAAAGAACACCGTTCTTGGTAAATTTCACCTCAATATCCTTCAGTACTCCGTCGACAGCAGTTTTCCACTTGGCCTTCCCGGTCAAGTTGTACATGGCCGCAGCTCCATAGAGGTAAATGCCGGTATTGTACGACCATTGGTTGGTGTCCATGGAGCTGGGGCATCGGCCGGCGAAATGAAGTCCATCCAGAATCTGGTAATCTTTTGTGATGAGTCCCATCTTTTCCTCCCAGTTATAGACCTTCTCAGCCCAGTCTGCATATGTACTGTTTCCGGTATAGCGGGCGAGGCGCGCAGCGATATTAAAGAAGCAGCCGTTGGAAATCGAATTCTTGTAGTCGTATCCCACATTCCAAGTAAAGATTTGCCAACGAAGACCACCGCCGCAATGTTCTGTGTCCCAACGGCTGACGTATTCGTTGAAAACAGCTTGAACCAGTGCAAGCCACTGTGGCTTATCCTCTGGAGGATCGGGAAACTTGTGCTCGGCGGCTGACATAGCCGCGACGGCCCAGAAGCCTTGATCGTCGTTTCCTTCCGTCATAGTCTGATTATCAGGCATGTAGTCATTCTCAGTACCAACTTGATGTATCATAGCTTGTTTGGTGATATCGTTGTAAGTTTCATCGCCTGTGAGCCACCAGTAGTCGATCAATGTGCCAAACATTCCTCCTGCTATCCACCAGTAATAAGGATCTGGTAAATTTCCTGGTACGTCGCCGGTATTGTTTCCAGTATAGTATTTTACCAAGCCGTGAGCGACAGTACTCGCCGCTTGTTTGATTGACTCTAGACATGGTGAGTTATGAAGCACTGGGAGGACCGGCAGACTTACTCTCATCATCCCATTTCACATCGACAGCGTTACCAAGGCCTGCCAAGACTGAAGTCACGGCGAAGAAATTGAGTATGGACGGCTTCATCTTGTCGGCAAATGATAAGCAACAAAACAGAGCCAAGCATCAAGTGAAAGACTGGGCGAATGCCAAGTTGTTTCTTGTCTATATATCTCCTGAACATGAAGATGAGAAAAGGAGGAGGTGAAATGCCAAGCTTCTCGCTTAAGGACATACGAAATGGAGATTTATTGGTCAATGAAATGAGGTCTTTTTAGCAGCGGGTAGAAGCGAGTGGCGGTGATCCCTAGTCTAAAAATGAATGTGAAATACGATTTCAGGTTGAAACGAGGCAGTGCAAAATTGTAATTAATTGTGTAAGAGAAAAGTTGAAGTATCGCAACGGCCCGTTGAGTGTCCAGCATATTATTGACAAACGGTGGCGACCTTCTTGTAACGTACATTAGACTACGTAGCTAGCATTTAAGCATAGGTTTTAGGTGAGCTGTCTCCATTGAATAAACAGCAACTTCTCCGTATTGTCAGTAACATCAATCCACTCTCGCTCTAGAACACTAATCTTCAGGGCACCCTTGGCTGGTGCGGTGAATCCAATACTGAACGGGGTCAGCAGCTTGCTAACATTGAACGGGAGATTAACTTTAATCTTAAATACGGTGTGGGGCCCCAGCGTAGCCTGATGCAAAACCCCTTAAGATCCTGCAGGGACCAGTACCCTGTAGATAGAATCATGTGTTAAAGTAACAATATTTTTGTCAATCAGTCTTGCCTCATGTTCTCCGTCTCGGTGTGGACCAATGTCAAATTGAGTTACATGATTGATTTCAGTCTCGATTTTAAAAGCCGCTGCTGAGAGAATGTTGTTGGTTGTAGCGTCTCGAGTGGTAGGTACGTCAAGCTTTGCGATGGTGACAACGGTCTTGATGTCATGCCAAGAATAGGTTCGTGGGATGCATTCGCTTTGATGAAGGGTGGTTGTGGACAAGATGATGCTGTATCTTCATCTGACGCGCTGGTGTTGAGCGGCAAGATTCACGCGTCGATGTTGGTCGTAAAGCGTGTTGGCCTGTCATCTACTCGCGTCATAGCCGGGTTAAGCTGTTCAGCCAATCAAAGCTTAAGGAACAACATTCATCCGATCACAAAAATTTACACTGTTAACGCGAGACGGTATTTGTGACGGAACGGGCTACTAGTAGCTTTAGGGTAGTTTTCATCCTTTCGGGTAATTCCCGCTCGACTGAGAAGCACAAGTCCCTGATCAATCATACTGTAAAGGTTCACTGGTTCTTAATGACCAAATTAATTTCGGCTCTTAGGATACCTCTACTCCACGTTCTGAAACTGGCCTATCGAGTCATCCAGTCATCCACACGAGTTGTTCACCTGGCACGAAGCCACCGGTCATACTGACCACGAGTTTGGATGGGGCCACTTCACATTATTTTCCATTGGAAAAACCGTGTTTCCGCATTCCCCCCATGGCAATCGGGACTTGGCGTATGTCGAAAGCGGTCGGGTTTATCTTGGCTTTCACAGGTCTTGTGCATCAATCGCTAGGCAGTTCGTCCAACGACCAACCGCCTACCCTGTCAAGTCCTTTGATGACATCTGGATTACCCTTAACGGACGTTATTCCAAGGGTCCAGGTGGTTGCGGCGGTGATTATGCCCCTCAAATACCCGTCAAAACTGAGAGAGGAACATATTTCTGGACCACAGAAGCGGCGTATTACCTGGGGTACTCGCACAGAATCGAATGGGTAAGTATCTGCAGCCATTGCCTCTTCTTTTAGCTAACATCCCTTAGTGGGACTATGATCCTTTTAAAGTCCCGAATCTCACAGGTCGTCTACTAGAGAATCCGACTTCACAAGAAACTCAACCCAAGCCTGAGTCAAACAAGCCACCAGAGGAACTGGCAGATGAAATTGTCAGTCAAATTGTAGCTGGGTATTGGAGTCCGTGTGGACTGCCTACATCACATACACTGCCTCAAACATCTTGGAAAAGGATTCTTGTCCAGATCCCTTTCCTTTGGGACATCGATGTGGAAAAAATCGAACAGTTTCCTGATATTCCCGAAAGCCAACAGCGAGAATGGAACTGGGAAAGATTGGTACGGGGAATTCTATGCGGCCTTATCCCAGAGAAAAGATCAGACTGCGAAAGTTTAGGGTGTGAGAAATGCTCGCACAGCGTATGGGATTACAGTCATGTGAAACTGGATTTACCCCCAGGCTTGACCAATCGTCGAAGAATCTGGCAGATCTTGGAGGACATGAATCCTAAAGAAGTGAATGTCTTGGATGAGCCAGACTTCATTGTTCTAGATGATCCTCTGGATAGGTTCATAGGTCGGACAGTGAAGGATGGAGTTAATGTGGAGAATCCAGATAGTACTTGTCTCGACTGGGAATCGCCTTCGTCCGTTGATGGGGATGTACGTGAGGAGTGGTTAGCACCCCATGGTTGGGCAGCCGCTGGCGCAGGAGATCTAGATTCATCTTGGTAAGTAGTCATGAAATAGAAGTACCAATGCTTTACAGTCCCCAATTGGCATTAAAATCCGGATCAACTGCAATTTTACTCTCTGCAAGTGTTCAGCCGCAGGTTTAGTAGAACGATTGCATGTCGATCAATATCCAAATCGGGCGAATGGTTTAGTGGTATAATACTCCCTTAGCAAGTTCGTCTTTCTGACAGTCTTCCTTCTGGGAGTGGTCCAGGGTTCGATTCCCTGTTCGTCCAACGTAGGTGGTTAGATCCCACCAGTCTACCTTTTTTGCAGTGGTGGAGTAGGGAACTGGATGAACTAGCCGCAGCGTGGCAGAAGAGATGTCTTCTAAGGCTTAGGCTACAGAAATAAAGTAGCTTAAATGCTTACCTAAGCTGGCATAAAGTGATTAAATTATTTCGTCTCTTATGCTCTTGCGGGCCAATTCTTATGACACCTACCTGACTAGGAATTTGCCTTTTTCAATGCCTATTTCTATCAGGCATACTTACATTGGCATTCTCGCCCCTTGCATTGCCACATACAATGAAAGAAATCCGCTATCTTACCAAGTCGAGAGAAAGGTCAAGGTGAGCAGCGCAATGGGTTTAAAGACAAGCAGTCGCGTCATCGTCTCCCTGTCCGCCAGTGAAGGCCCTAGCTTCGTGCTTGTGTTCGGCGTTGTGAACATGTCATCGCATCTTTTTATACGGTCCCCTTGTTCTATACAAAAGTAAGAAACCAGTGCTCCATAAACGACCCAGCAGTCTTTCTTCATTAATTCTCTGATTAAGTAGATTTAAAAGACACAATAAAGAATGGCCGTCGCGCTACCCATGGATAGGTTACAGTTACCTCTCGTCCATAAGACTACCTCGCCTCTGAGTACAAATTTAACAACCTAATTTGCTGTTACTCATTGGATCCATAATATTGTAGTAACATAAGGCCTGGAAGTCTGTATCTATGTAGGTAACTACATGAAAGTTATCTGTAAACAGTAGCCGAGTGATGGTGCTAGTTTAACTTGCAATAGCGTATTGTAGAGAACAAAGTTTTAAATTCTTACACTACAACAATAGAACCAAGAGTATCGGCGTTAAATTCGAAGGCATCTTGCTGAAGTTCTTCAGCTAATGTGAAGCATGCCTCAGGTGTCTCATGGTCCCAATCATGATTTTGCCTGCCCAACTCGCAGAACCCAATCCTAGTGTATTGCCGGTCCTGTAATTGCTTCAGCATCAAACAACAAATTCGCGTTTCGCTCGCTTCCAGTGTTGGCGCACAATAAACTTCATCTCCTTCCTTCAGACTGTCATTCTCCATTTTGGAATCCACCCTGCATCTTGCCGCCGTCATGAAGCCATGAATCTGACTAATTCCCCATCGGCGTTGCGATGTGCTATTACCAGTCACCAGGATCCTGAATAAACGAACTCGTATTTCCAGCTGACATACTCCAACCCTGCCGAACGGGTCGCTTGTTTTTAGTGGGCAGACCACGTTTAGAGGGGTGCACACAGGTCGCGCAACCGTGTCACCTCCATTCCGAAAAAGTACCATCCACGAGTTACGGGGAAGATCAATAGATGCCCAAGACCAAGACGGGGCACGATACTGTGCAGGCCTCCACCCTGGTCCCCCGCTACCTGCGATGTACCAGAGAAGGTCGTGAAGTAGGGAAGCCTTCCAAAGTCCAGCCAGGTAAGTGTCATGGGTCGCCTGTCTGTAAGTCTGAGCCAGGCCTGAGAGCGCGGGCAGTTTATCATTTGGATTTGACAAATGCCTGGTCGTGTAATCCGCAAGGACATCCTTCCACCACTCCAGAGCCTTCTCTGGCTCTGTTAGATCGAGTCTCCCTGCTATAACTGACCGGAAACCGGTGATACTATCGCTTCTCCACGCACACTCACAACTACAAGCCTCTCGGCATCTCCAACTGATATCGTGTTTCCCATAACGTAAAACCCTCGGTGGAAGTATGGACTCTTGAAAAGTCCAACCTCGGGTGTCAATCTCATATCTTTCACGACGATCAAATCTTTCACGATGAGGTAACCTTTCTTTTGCATACAGCATCACTCTCTTTCCAGAGTCATCAGTTGTTTTCACTTGAATGCACCTTTGCGGCAACATGGGGGAAAAGATACCGCTTTCCATGGAAGTAGAGAGCTCAGCGTATATAGTAAAATAGGAACCCTTGTAGATGTCTGCCATAGCAGAGTTCTCCTTGGCGAAGTCCTGCTCTGTACCCGCTACCTGATCGTCTGTCAAGCTTTGATGTTGTTGTAAGATGCATAATGTATCTATCCATAGATATCTGACCTTTAGACGTCGGCAGATTGTAATGGCATCTTGGAAGGTTTTTGGGATGATACCCCAAGGAATGCCAGCCCGATGTTTGTGTATTGTTGTCACAGTACTGATCAATCGGCGGTGTTTGGGGTCTCCAAACTCTGTATCTGAGTTGGTCGACGGCCCAAGAATATAGTCTTTGGGAAAGGTCCAGCTTTCAATTAGTAATCTGGTCTGGGTCGTTGATATCCGTGAATATGTATATCTTCGCTACTGGAGTAAGGTCACCTATTCCTGCATCGCGAAAGAAGTGAAGGCGGGTCTCCTTCCGATTCACGACATCCGAATTGTTCTCGACCTTCATTTTCTCGATCAGTTCTAGGCGCTCATCTTCATCTGTGATGTCCTTGAATGTTTCTGTGAGGTGCCCACTCATAAACGCTTCCAATACCTGCTGGAATATGATACACATACGGCACAATGGAGCTCTTGTGACACCGTCGTGAAACTCTTGGAGGCTGACACACAATTTTGACCGTCTTGTGTCACAAGACAAGCAGGTCAACAAGTCCGTTTGCTCGCAGATCCTCGCAACACCTTCCTACTTCGGTCCTGCCCTTCCCTGCTGCAGTGTGTGGCGCAAGATCATTGGTCGGCTTCATGGAGCGTGAGAATGAGGTGCAAGAGCAACATGTCTATAATGGTATGTATCGATGTCTTGGTTTGAACTGTTCACCTGAGTTACTGGAACTCCCAAGACCTGAAAGTAAAAGAGGCAGTGGTTGTTAAAAACATGAACAACAGACTGACAGGTGAGAAACTCTTGGTGACTCCATCAGATGGAATGTCTAAATCTATTTACACGTTGAATAAGGTTTTATGACTCCTTCGCTTATACGCAGCCTTTTCCTTTCTCCTTGCCTTGATACAATGTTCAGGCTAGCACAGAACATTATAAACCTTACCGCCAATGAAGCTTCTCTAATCCCTCTAGAAAGGGAAATCCACCCATAAATGACCTGTTTTCACGTCGAGGGAATTTGCGGAAACCAAGATTATCTCAAATACTATGGGAAGGCCACCGTGCTTGGTTCCTATTGGAGTCTCTCAAGATGCTAGTTCTTCAAACCGTACGATCAACACAGCACATTCATAAACACTGATCGATCCTTATAGAGTCTACTACCAGGTCCAGAGGGTATACATGAGACAAACTCTGTCCTTCGAGCCAAAGCTAGAATTGCGAAACAGGCTACCGATGGAGATATAAATAGCTGAATTCCGCCTACTCACTCTGATTCTCCAGATGATTGTCATCCCACAGTCATTGCTAACCAGGTGTACGTCCCCCATGATAACATCGCTGATCTTGCTTGGTGGACGTAAGCCTTCATTATGACAAACATCACCCGTCTAAGCCCGGAGATAATACTCGAGATTATGGAACTCTTAGACTTGAGCGACATCTGTACGTTGATCAAAACCTCACCTCTATTCCTCCAACACTTCCTTACCCACAGACACCAGCTTCTCAAGTCGACCGTCAGCGATCTCAACCACCGTCTCGCGGGTTGCAACTTTTCCATCTTCCTATCAGCATTACGTCTACGTTGCAGACAGTCCATCAATGCTCCGTCGTCGCAATCTGAGGTGAGAGAAGCAGAACAGGCTAGTCTACGTCTCTATCGCCACCAAGATGCCAGACTTGAGCTTTCTATAGCGACTGAGCTGGGACTCATTTACGGCGCACGACAGCTTCTTATCGAGTTGGAATGGGTCACGGACAGCTATGCGCCCAAAGCGTGGTGGGAAAAGCAAGACTCAAAAATGGTCAAACCGGCAACTCTGGTTCTCTCGTTGAACGAAAAGCGAGGATTTATCCAGGCAGCGATTAATTTTGAGAACTATTGCGGGATGTTCTTCCTTTGCGAGAAGGTTCTGTTCAAGCGAAATGCATCAATAAGGCAGCTGTTCTTGAAAACCTTACATGGATCCTTTGTGGAACAGGGGGCTTTTTATTCCATCACATACTATGTGTTTAATCATGAAGTTGCTGGGAGAGACAAACAAGAGTCGAAATGTTGAACTTTGCACATCTTCTCACAAGTCAAGTCCTTAGCCTGTTATACAAAATGCAGTGCATGGATCTATTGGCACAAACAGAATTCATGCTGAATTGGTTCTACAAGGTATCCCCAAGTCCGGATCCATTGGTACTCATGGTAAATGGAATCGACCTCCATCGCAAGGGAACTCTTGAGACTCATCCCTGGCAGCCATGGGAAGGTATCGAGGGTCAGTCTTACCGAAGTTTGGCCTCATGGCGGCGCGGCTCGTACTTTTGGGATAGAGATCGTATACAGAGTCTTGGAGGAATTCCCCTCTAGATGATTCGTTGAATTAGAATGAGAATCTAGAAGCGATGGTGGTATTTGATGGTCTAACCTTTGGAGTGCAACTGTGGAGTCCAAAGCGACAAGCACATGTATCTCCTTCATTGCTCTTCTCTGGGCACCTGAAGATTGAAGGTTTCTGAGTGGCTCATTAAATTGCTGCAGCAAATTCCCAAGCAGGTAAGTAATAGAAGAAATATCCTATAAAGTTTCGTCTAAGATCACATGCAAGAACTAAATCATTTCATCCCTTATGCTCTCAACGACAATTCTTCTGACACTCAAACTGCAAGACTATGCGCGTCGAGGCGCTTCGGTGGGTCAATAACGTCACCTTTCGTTACGATACTCGATTACCAGCAAGTCTGGGGGACGTCATATGAGCTGCCAAAAGATTATATAGGCTTTACTCTTCCTAATGGTTCCAAATTCGAGGAAGCTCATCGATAGGAAAAGTCTTGAAAAGACTCCAAACTTGGTACGCTATAAAAACTCTAGACGCAGGGCTTAAAACATAAGATTAGCTGCAACACCACAAGAGTTCCACGATTTGCACAAAAAAGACAAGTAATCAAGGACGTCTTTTTCTCAAATGATGCAAACTCCATGACGATCGGCCTACAGCGAGACGCCATGAACAGGTGCAGAAGCTCATAGGTGGCGAGATATCTGATGTGTACCCCAGGCGTCACAAACAACGGAGGACTCTACTCTGCGATGCTATGGTCATAGCACTTAGCGCGTGAGGTTCAAGCGACCCAAGGAATCTAGTGACCTTTGGACTATAACATCTCTTTGAGTGCATGAGAATTGACCTGTGGGACCACGCGACCGAGAGTTCCAAAGTAGCTATGTTTAACTGCCATTGGGCCTGGCTGAATCTTGAGCAGAGCGCCACGGAACTGGCTACATGTGCTACCAGGCTATAATATTCACATATTCAAAGCCACTCTTTCCTCCCCGAATGGGCTCAGGTCATCAGACCAGCTTTTAACTTCGGTGCCACCCAAATCGGTGCAGACTTCCGGGTTCGTTTCCACAAGGACGACTTTGCCTTTGCAATCAGATTCGGTCCATCCTGCAAGGTAGTACTTGCCAGCCTCTCCAATGCGGATAATCGCAGAGCCGGTTCCGGGGACAGTCCTGTTGATGCAATTGCCTTGGGTAGAGAGGTAGCTGTAGCTCGCTGCACCGCTGCAGTCGGCTGAGTCGGCGTAGAGGCGCGCCCAGAACACGATTGGCTTATCGGGAACGCCTTGGGGCGAAGCCATGACAAGGCTCGCGAAGGCCAGATTGATGAAGGAAGTGGCATACATTCTTGGGGAGTAGGGAAGAGAATTATTGTAGCTACTTGGTCGACGATGTGTCTGATTTTGAGCCCACGGGTTCAGAACTACCTTCTGCCTGACCCGATGGTTATTAACAATGAGGATGGATCAAATAACTGTTGATTTCCTAGACTGAAACGGCTCGGCTCTTGTGTTCTTATGATATACGAAGAACAGGAATAACATTAGGCTATTTGGAGTTCCCAATATGATGAAAGGCCAAATGGTTCACGTAGAATTACCCGATAACGCAATGATGATTTCGGAGGATTCAGCAATGTAACCCAACAGCTGACTCTCACTCCTAGTACTAACTGAAATTCTCCTGTAATGTTACAGTGAGGGGAGTAAGCTATGTACGGTTAAGTATCTGGAAGGATTGTTTGGAGCCCTTAAGTACAGAATGTAGCTAGTTCGTGAATCCTTCATGCCGGCCGGTGGCACATGGCACTGATCGAAACCACAGATGAGTACTCAATTTGGAGCACCTGACCTCTCCTAGTGGAAATGACTGAGTGGAAGAATCCTTCAACATTCCCTTTCTGGTCCGGGCTTGGAGTCTTGTAAGCAATCCAGAATGTCTTTAACCGCCAACGGACGATTACACTCCGAAGACCGGAATCGGTTTTAACATCTGCAAGTCGACGAGTCATGACTACATTTAGGAAGATGAATGAGCAGGCGGATCGCCAGAACTGAGGGCAAGGTAAGATAAGATTGGACCTTGTATCCCAAGACTAGGAGATCCTTACACCATGGACTTTTAGAACATTGAACATGTTATTTGGGACAGAGTGATTATTAATCGAACAGACCATGAATCTGATTTGAATGGTAATAGATAAGATAAGGATTTCAAGTCAAGGTATCCTTCTATCAGCGACTGTCACTGTCAATTTCTAGTTGCCCGGCCATCCAAAGTTGGGGCATCACCAACTCAATCCATTTCAACCTCACACCTCACGCTGGCCTGAATGATTTGTTGACCATTTCCCGACTTCACCATGGCATACAACGACGATAGTCACATTCTTTCTTGGATACGCGACATCCCTTTCAATCCTCCCTCACCGTCGCAACCGCATCATCGCAAGCGCACACCCTCTGACTCTGAGCAACTCGCGTCGCCGCCTTGTTCGCAAGAGTCGCGTCGTGCTAATTTGGGTGTCGAGATGCCTGTTCCACCGGTCAAATAGCCGCGCCTTCGCGATACACCGTCTCGTTCTGAGAGTGACCGTCCTTCAACTCAACAATCTCCAAGCAAGTCACTGTCAGCTCTTGCCGTCGCCGAAGATGGAGTCGAAGTAGCGCCACTCCAAATATCCGACAAACGAATTCCTCACTCTTTAATCGCTCTCTCTCGCAATATCAGTAACGTTGTTGGCGTTGTTCCAAAGTACTTGGAGGTAAGTCAACTCACGTTCATTTCAACGTCCAACTGACACACAGCAGGCCGAGATCGCCAAGCTGAATGAGAGAAATGATTCACCCTACACAGATTTCGGATCCCATGTCTTTCTTGACTCAGAGAAGACATACCTCCCGCATCTAGCCCCTACAATCGAACTTGCAGCTGTTCAGCTCATCGTCGCAGGCGCTGCAGACGCTTGTCGCAACCAGTTTGACGAATCTGGTTGGAATACTACTGTGCACGCGCCGCTGCTGTATCTTGTCTTCTATGGTAAAGAGTGTCGTGGGACACAGCTGCACAGGTTTCAGGCTTGGTATGTTCCTTATCAGACTCATCCTCCCGTGCCGTTAAAGCTAATTTCACTTCCAGTACCCGTGCGGGAGTTCAGCCTGCGTACCTAATAAACAACGCCCAGGGCAAGAAGGTACATTTTGTCTTCTACGTCGATGCCCAGTATGACAGCGATCCCCAGCCACATCAGCTGATCAATAAAATCCGGCCGATTCTCAAAGACACCTCCATCGACCATTCCAGCCAGGCAAGTCTCTGCGCTCACCCGATCTCTGTCAGTGTTGAGACCAAGAGAGACGGGTCCAACGCCGAAAAGGCACGCCTACAGCTGGCTGTGTAGCACGCAGCCCAATGGCGAAAATAGGTCAAGCTTTTAGGTGACAAGGTTGATGAGCTGGAATTCATTCCCGGCATCATCGTCCACGGGGACCAGTGGTTTTTCGTTGCGTCAACCTACAGCCGTTCTACCAACAAGACGGTAAGTGTCCTCGCACGTTTGCTTCGCTAGCAATTACTGATTGATATTACAGATCCTTTGGTATTCTCGAAGCTGCTTTGGATCAACAGATGCCTTGTTGTGGACCTTCAAGGCGATCGCTAGCATCCAGCACCTGCGAGCTTGGAGTGATGAAATCCTTTGGCGGTGGTACAAGCAGCACCTTCCAGCCGCTCATGCGTCTCTGTGCTCTACCAACACGTCCATGACTTGAACAGACCAGCCATAGGTGGATTCGACCGTTCAGTATTCGTTCCATCTGTCGGCGCGTGCACGCCTGTCACTAACGCCATTGCCTGGTTTGCGTTGGCATCTTGGAAATAGTATCAACTTGGGTAGTACTGATTGAGAGAAGTTGGTTGTTGCGAGATGGCGGGGTGATTGGCCAGACTGTTGTAGATGTAACGAGCAAAGAAGCGATGTCTTGGACTATGCAGTCTCTACCTCTCAGAGCTCGATTGGCATCTGAATCTTGACCTTTTTCGTGGAATAGCGCAATACAAGCTACGGCTATATCTTGCACAGTAGCTTTACCTGATAGAACTCGTGTCAGGAGGAACGCAATTAATGTGCAGCAGTTTCCACATCACTTTCGCAAGGTATCGTTGAAGACTGAGGAGTTTTTTGTACACCACGGTTGCTTTTATTGCTATCCGTACACGTCTTACATTGGGCCAGCGTTTGATTACTCCCCAACTGGGGACCAACCACTGGCCTCTTGCATTCTTTTAACTGGACTGTTCCTGTGATCATTCTAGATACAGTGGCCGTAAACCCCTCTTTGCCAACAACAAGGCTACATACTGTTCCTCTTCAGAAGGGAGTTGGAAATCATCTTTAAGCATCTCCTTATCCCATCCTACCCAGGCTCTACCAATCACACCCTCATTCGTTATTGAACGATTCCCCATTGCAATCGAGATCACTGTCTCCAAGTTTAGGAAGCCATACTCCTCAGAGCCCTCAAGTGTCTTACCCACAATCTCCCACGCCTCGAGCTCATCGGAAAGACGACGTATCTGCTCCTCAAGATGGAAGAGCAACTGGGTTGCCCACCTCAACTCTGCCGTGGCAATCCTATAGCTGTCGCTTTCAATACCAAGTCGTTGTTGTAGGAATTCACCCAGCTTAACCGTCAATTCGCTGGCCCTACCAAGAGATTGGTGCGCGCTGTAAAGAGAGATTTCCAACGATCGAACCATGCGGTGCATTTCAAAGGTGGTATCGGTCTGTATGTCCAGTGCTCCGTAATAGAGATTGGCAATGTATCTCGGCGGGCGGTCCATGTCCTTTCCAAGTTCTCTTATACACGAGTCCAGAATGCTCTCTAACCACTGAAATGTGTACCAGTTTGTTGTCATGGAAGGATATAACAATTTGAGCTCTCTTTCGAGATCCCGCATCATAGACAGGAGGTCGTCAATATCGGCTTGTTCTGCTTTACCGTATTGGGTGAACCCTACATCGCACGCTGGAGAGTCCCACCAGTTCCTCCAATGATCGCTTCCGCCACGACAGGCTTCTGCCCATCTTTTGGTAACGTAGACTGCTAATGAAAGGTTTCCCTGGTAGTAATCAAGGAAAAACAGCCCATGGCCATACCAGTAACTGGATCTCGCTTCATAGAGCAATTGAAGAAGAGATCTTCTACCTGCGCAAAACATCGCCCTTGGCTTCCCAAACCCGCCGCAATTCCCTGGACGCTACCGACAGATGCCTCGATGTTGACCCTTTCCGTGAGTCTCTCCATAATTCCGATAGAACAAGCCAGAGTTATGCAGAGTCTTCGAGTGAGAATAGGAACAGAGGACCACTACCGCAAACTCGATAAACCTGGTTTTACAGATTCAAGTCTGCAGTATGCCTTAAGATGTACTGTATCCTTACCAAGGTAAATAACGTCCTCTATCGTTGTCTCGGGAACGTCCAGTCGGTTCTAAAGCCTATCCTCAGCTACCGGCCGCTTCAACTCTTCTTCGAGACAAATATTTGGCTTCTAGGTATTGCAATACTACAATGGAAGGTTCCCCTTCCCCTTGAAACTCATTTCTCACTATCGGACGGCTTGAAAAGTTATTTTAGCTGCGTAGTTCGAATACTGACGGTGTTGTTCAAGGTCCGTCTATTGCTCTTCTTTTGTTATCTAGCCTCCATTCTTGGTGTCCCTACTTATCTAGTAGGTTATGCTGCACTATTTCTTTACTTTGTTTTTTGTACGTTCTTAGAACTACTTCCTAGCTATCGTTGAAAAACCACAAATAAGTGCAACAAGACTCGCAGACTCACCCTATTGTAGCTCCTGATTGATTAAAAAGGCCCAATGTGAGTTTTGAAATGAAAGAAACTATCCCAAACACCATGATTGCCACCCTCACTGTAACCGCCTTGACTCGTGCATGGAAGTGTCAACTCAATATAGCGAAATCTTACTATTGTTTGAACATGCCCAGTGTCAGTCCCGGATAACAAAAATTAGTAAAGCTGTGGTCATTTAAATTTATTCCTGCTTAGTAAAAACATGTCATGTTGTATTCTGGTGGATAGAGAGAAAACGTCCTTTCCTAAATTGTATATATAGTTTTACAACAGAATTATTATTAGAAGACTGAGTCGATTCCATCTTGGTGCGTCTCGGTGCCGCTAGACTATCTAATACAACATCATGGCAACATAGTTACAATGTGCTGGGATATGTGGTGCAGGGTAGCCTCGTGGAAATGTCTTTACCTGTGATAAATACTTGTATACATCTATACTATTGGCATTATTAACAGCTTCTTGTTCATACTGTCCTCTCGCTGTGTATCGAGAGCTCTGTTGCTCTCTTCTGCAAGCCCTCTGGAGGACCTTTAACGTCGCACCATCGCCTTTTTGCTCGAGTTCTTGCTACATGTGAGAGCTTTTTGGCCGCAATGTATCCACCCAGGATCCTTTCGCGTCCTAATACGAAAAAGAATGCTATAGTAACGCTAAAGCCATTTGCATAAGCTGAACTCATCTCCTGCTACGTATTTCATTAATGCGCAACTGGGCATTATATTTGATAAAATAATACTAACGCTTCCTGAGCAAGTTAATTAAAGTTTTACTTGTCATAGCGTGCAAATACCCTGCTTGATTCAGCCAATTACCAAATGTTTCCATGCTCCATTCTACAATCACATTTCATTCTGAGGTCTAGGTTGGTCCAGGTACCACTGGTAGGATTCAGGTATGCAGGCTAGTCTTGTTTGACGAGCCGTGCTAACCGACAGATGGAGCCACATTCCTCCTACCTGACCGCATGCGGCAATCTCGCTTACTGGCTACATGCGGTTAGTATGTGTAACTATTTATATTAATGCTGACCGCCGATCCTGCCTCCCGTCCTTATTCCTCATCTTCTTGGCATTGGTTCTTTATTCTCTTTACACAAGATGACTGACCTTTATCCTCACAGAGGCTTCATGCTAGATACAGGCAGGAAGTTCTTTCCTGTCAAAGCAATCCTCCAACTACTACAAATTCTACACCAATACAACTTCAACTACTTCCACTGGCACATCTACGATGCGGAAAGCTTTCCTATCTTATGGCCAGAGTATCAGGGATTGACCGATGCCAGTGTGAAATACAGCTGTACTGACGATTACTACACATTCGGGGACATTCGGAATGTCGTGCTGCATGGAATGAGTCTTGGGATCAATGTGTATCCTGAGACAGATATGCCTGGTCATGCTGATATTTTGTAAGTTATACCTCTGTAACATAGAGCTCAACTAACGTATCCAGTGGTGTCTGGAAAAAGGACTTGGTGGTTGGCGAGACGAGTCTCGATGATCCAGATGCACAGCTCGACATCAGAAAGGAAAAGACGTTTAAGTTCGCCAGCAACCTAGTTTACACTATGGACGAGGTCTTCAACTCATCATATTACCACTTCGGCGCCGACGAAGTCGAATACTTTTATAACACCAAATCGGATAATAGCCTCTTCAATAAGTTCCTTAACCGCCTCCCTGCCCTTGTTCCTACTAAAACGCCTATTGTGTGGGACGACCCGCTTACCGACTCTGGAAAAAACATCAAGCTTTCAAAAGACTGGGTCGTCCAAACTTGGCACGGGGGCGCGACAAAAAAGGTTCTCAAAAAGGGCCATCGTGTTATTGTTTCAGAGATGGACGCGTTCTATATCGGAAACGCAGATGCTGAGAAGATTGCAAAGTTCAAGTTTCCTAAGGATGATAAAGTACTTGGTTTCGAGGTTGTTTGGTTCACAGGTGAGGATGACAGGCCAGGAGATATCAAGAAGAGCTGGGTCATGGAACCCATCAAGGCTGCTAGTAAGATTAAGAGAAAGAAGTAGGAGAACTCGAGATAACTCTGTTAGCTAGAACTCTCGGCCGCTAGAAAATTAATCGCATTTCGTCATTTGACTTGATTACTGTCCTTGAAGCTACCGAACTTATAAATCCCTGCTGTCCTGACATTGTGTGTAACTTTAATGGAAGAACGCCTTACCTACTCACGCTAGTGTTCAGCCTTGGCTAGCGTCGTTCCTTGACACAGCCTCCATGCCGAGGGGCCTCCTGCCTAGCTGGGTAGACAACAAGAATTGTTCGTCGCATCATCCTCATTGCTAGCAAAACTAGTGTCATTCTAACAACTAACGACAGGTAGTGCGGATAAACCCAAGTTATGATTGTATGACATCCTTAAGGGTGAGATGACTGCCACCCAATTCTTCCCATTCAGTTACCAATGTCCGTGCCTCAACCACACCCTGTGCCCGTGCGTACAGCACGATCATTGTGACTGGATCAAAACTACGAGAGGCCGCCCATCGGCCCATAAGCCCTACCTGAGTACTGGCCTCAAGCTTCTCAGTGACATTTTGTCTCTCACACGTTGTGTTGGGCATGGTTTGTCTTTACTTTGTAATTGGACTTTTATACAATTAGAAGTCTCTTACCCGTATCAGGACATTTGCTGACCTTGTCAGATTGATCTTACCGCCAATCAAAGGAGCGATGTGGCGTTGTTCCATAGTGCCAACTCATTCAGCTGGTTGGGCATCAATACCGAAGAGTCTGAATGGCCACGAGCCGATGGCCTCACGTCGGCTGTAATTTCGGAATGCGCGAACGCGTATTAGCGATAATGCGATGCAAATTGATGGAATCTGGGCATGTATATATCTCAGGGTTCTTCATCTGATCTCGAACCATCTTTCTTTTTATCTACATTGAACCTTACTATCACTTGAGGAAGATTGATCTGCGCCTGAACAGATATTACGCTATTGAAACCGTGGTAATTGAAGAGATGCCTTCTGGCAACCCACCGACATCATTCGACATGAGTGCCAACTGGGACAATGTTCTGCGAGGGCCAGCATGGCCGGCGACAGGTTTAACATCTTCACAGGTACGTCTAGCTTGCTCCTTTATCTTGAGCTAGAAGTCGCACGCATTTCAGCGTCATCATTGCAAGCCGCATGGTACTTGAGCATACAAACTTATGACTCAAGCGAATCTTCAGCCGAAGTCACACGGATATTCCTTCTTCAGGACTTTCACTTCCATGGATTACAGACAGGACCCAAGGACTTAATTATATGTATGTAGACAGGATCGGACCATGCTGACAAAGAAAATCTTTGCAGAATACCAAGGGATGGACCACGTATACGAAGGACTTCTCTCTGTATCATCGCCCCAAGGATATCAAGCTATGGATTCCAAGCTATGAGCTTAAATTACGGAACTATGGACCTTTTTTACCGGACTATGGAACATTCTCACGGAACTAAGGATCTTTCTTACGTTCTTACCGAATTATGGAACTTTCCTACCGCGCCATGGATCTCAGATACAAGGAATGTCTTGATGGTATACTATCTATACTCATCCACCGGGTTAAGTACTTACCCGAAGCAACCACCTCTGGACCATAACCTACACGTAATATTTACAAGAAAGGTAGCTCTCCCTATGTCTCGTCTACGAAAGGTTATCTATTAGAGATTGATAACTAGAATTATTCGTTATGGGCATACCTATTTGGAAGTTCTATATACAAAAGCCCCAGCACTCTAATCATATCGACGTGAAGATCTCCACTAACTTCAACAAGGGTCCCTAAATGATTTTCCTCGGGCTTGGCTACACGATGGGCGATGGACACGACATACACCAATGATGATGGCCTGGCCGACCTCCAACTGACAATTGTTCCATAACAGGCCACTCGCGGAGGACCCATTTCGGGCCGCAGAAAAAGGAAATTCACTGAGCCGGATGTCGCTTACGACGTTGGAAATGGCGAACGACACCAACGGCCATTGGTATTACCCAGCCAAGGGGATATCGCACCTGTCCAGGCAAGGTTCGCCTGCCCATTTTTTAAAGGCCCTGCCAACAGATCAGAGCTTCACCGCGCTTGCTTGGGTCATGGGTGGACCAAATTACATCGTGTCACGTAGGTTAAGTCTTTTGCCTCCTGCAGTCTGTAAGTACTAAGTAATGGTACCACACAGGGAGCATATCCAGCGATGTCACATCCCGGAAGGTTTTATCAAGTCCTTGATCTGCAACCGTTGTCACCAGGGCTTTTTGACACAAGACCTGCTTGTCCAGCACCAGCGCCAGGAAGATGCATGTCCTATCATGGAACCTGACGTTACTGCAGGCAAGGTCACCCTGGAGCAAGCGGCCAAGTTGACAGCCGCCAAAAAGAAGAAGCCCAATATGAGCGACGAGATGAGGTGGTTTGGCTTCTACGACATTATTTTCCCTGGCCAGGACCCGGCGCATAGGCCATCAACACCCTGTACGATTGACCATTTTCCCTTTTTCCCAAACATAATTTAAGAGGGCCCCAGCGAGTCAGGCGATGCTGACAATTCATTGCACAGACCATGAGCCTTTGATCAATCCAACATCGGACAACTCCAGTGCGCCAGCCTCTATCAGCATTTCTCGTTATCGGGATAGCTTTATTGGGCCGTCAAACTCAACAAAGAAGCGGAAACTGGAAGAAAAACTTAAATGTTGGGGAGTTCCAGACCCACGGTTATGCAGAGTGATTGCAGCCAAAGTACAGGAATATCAGGTTCAAGATCTTCAAGACTTTATGGAGGCAAGTGCCGATACTTCCAATATTGAGGTTGCCACCGAGTCCAACCCCCCACAACAAGACCTGGATGGCTGCTGTGAATTCGACTTTGCACAATTCAACGCATCGGACCTGTTCTTCGACCAGGATATTTGATAAGCTGCTAGCTTTCTCACTTGATTCTGGCTAGAGACCTATTTGGAAAGAACTTGGTATTGATGGATAATTTCAAGTTAGTGCTGTGGATTCTACAGTTTGTCGATATGATCAGGCGTTTGGGGTCTTTCTTTAAGGAAGGAGGTTTATAAACAGACACTTTTGTATGCAGGAGGAAGAAATGACAGGAATATGTACTTTGATGCTAGGTAGCAAATGTATCGAGAAGCTGACCAAGGTTACAGTATTGTTACGCAGGGTGAAATGCAACGAGATAGAGATCTCAAGATTCATAGAGGGGCACAAATCGGGCTAAAATACGGATAAAACAATCCTGCTAGTTTAACAAGGCTTCAGGATTCCTACCGAGAAAGCTTTGTCAATTGTATCGACCACTTGTCTTGGTGAAGTCGGCCATCGATCAGATTACTCCAACCCTGCTATCCGACCTTGAATATGTTCACAATGGCGTGAACAGGTATTGGAAAGTGCATTCCAGTATTCAGCAAAGAATGCACCGATGAACAGTTGTGTATACATATGATGACAACACTATTATTAGCTTTATCAGAGTCCTTTGTAACGAAGTACAGTTGCTTATTCGGCCGTTGTGTTGGGGAAAATCGGGCAAGAGCCGTTGGAGACGAACGTTATTTCTTTATGCTAACAACAAGTCATCACATACTGAAAGGGCTCTGGATATGTTCTGTTTGACACTATTGAGAGAGACTCATAGCACAGACTGTCATTGGATCATTGGAGCTCATGTATCTGATTCTGGAAGGCGCACAAGACTTCGCAATGTTTGCACGGCGATTCACAAGTACCTTGTACTGTTTAGAAAGTGACTCAGTTAAGTACCATTGTTCGGAGTTGTCTATGCTGTGATTGACAGGCGAACGTGTAATTAGAATCACGCCGAACATAGCACTCTATGCATCACGGGCAAGATTTTACAAAGTATAAATAGCCACGAATTCCTACCACTTGATTCTACAACAATCAACTCGCAACTCACAACTCACAACTCACCAACTTCAACTACAAACATCATCACCTTGCAATACAAAATTATCTCCTTCAAACTGAACAACAATTTAGACAAGTTCCATACCAATCGTCAATATGCCTATCCCAGGTGTCAAGTGCCCAACCTGTCTCAAGGACGGCAAAACGGTGTGGGTTAGTCCTGGACGCAACTGTGGCTATTGTCAGACCTACTGCGAAACCAATTGCTAGTACTGGAATTTAGAGCAACGGGGGAAGTAGTGGTGGAAGCTACTCACTCGCACTTCTTTAAGACAGTGTTGAAATAGATCATAGGTGGACTGAAGAATGCCAAAGAAATGGGACATAGTAGGGAAAGCTCGAGAATGCAGGCCTAGATAGTTTACCAAAGAAAAAAAAA